CCATGGGCTGTCCTCGTGGTAGTATTGAGCAGTGCTCCCCTTTACCAAAGGGTTACCTGGAATGAGCAACGTTATTCCTCTGAATTCGGAGTTCTCCTCTCACATGAGAAGTTTGAGTTCTCTGTTTCTCCAGAGCACCTGGAACCAGCAGCATCAGGTGAATTAGGCCCTTCCTCTGCCTCCCTGATGCGCTGAGTGTTTGGCCAGCTTGCAGTATGCTTACCCTTCTGATTTTACAATCATGCTGCAGGTCAAGCCCCCTCTCATTGAGAGCTGGGTTTGTGCTCTCTCAGCCAAGGTAAACTACTACTAGCCATTCCAGCATTGGAACATGCTGCAGGTCGAGCCCCCTTCTCGAATTGAGAACTGGGTGTGTTGCTCCCTCAACTGAATAACTGCTAGCTGTTCCACCATTGGAACATGCTGTAGGTTGAGCTCCCTCTCGATTGAGAGCTGGATGTTTGCTCCCTCAGCTACAGATTTACTGCTAGCCACTCCAGCATTATAGCCGTAAACATAGCATTTTTGGGGATGTGCTATTTCTATCTATGGGCTGCTCTTTCAGGGTGCCACGAGAACCCGTAGAATGGTATTTCAAGTGTGTGCACGTTATGCTTTGCCCACTTTCTAAAATCCACATAGCTGGTAAGTGTGCATGTTATGCTTTGCCCACTTTTCTAGCTAGCTGTTCCAGCTTTGGAACATGCTGCAGGTCGAGCCCCCTTCTCGATTTGAGAACTGGGTGTGTTGCTCCTTCAGCTAAATAACTGCTAGCTGTTACACCATTGGAACATGCTGTAGGTTGAGCTCCCTCTTGATTGAGAGCTGGATGTTTGCTCCCTCAGCTACAGATTTACTGTTAGCCACTCCAGCATTATAGCCGTAGACATAGCGTTTTTGTGGATGCGCTATTTCTATCTATGGGCTGCTCTTTCAGGATGCCACGAGGGTCACGACGAGGCATTCCCCATAGCGACCCCTAGAGAACGCAGTGTCTCGTTCCCTACTCAGGGAACCATGGTTACATAAGTAACCTGAGACGTTTTCAGGTAATCTTTCAGAAATAATTCATTTAAGAAATAAATCATGGGCACAAGACATATTTTCAAACACCCCTGCTGATTGGTCTACATTTACATAGGTTCACATTGATGATTAGGAAGTCTAAATTAGAGTTTTATTTAAAGTCAGTTACAGAGAATTTAAATAATCCTTCAAATTTCTGGAAACTAATTAAATACTTGTCAGGGACTCATGTAGCCTCTAGCCTTCCTGAATATATTCAGGTTGACATAGATAAAATAAACAATAAATTAGCTACGATCAACCAGTTAAATAAATACTTTATACATGCTGGGTCTGTATTTTACAGTTTAAATCCAAATACAACTGTCCCATGTTCAGTGATTACACCAGCTATTGGAAATCTGGATGTGTTCTGTTTCAGTAGATCAAGTTTGGAAAGCATTGAAAGGCATTGATAACAAAACATCTGTAGGCCTAGATAACTTAGACCCTTATCTTTTAAAGGTGGCAGTGGAGGTTATTGCAGAGCCAGTTACTTACATTTTTAATCTGTCTTTTGTCGAATTCTTTACCTAAAATTTGGAAAGCTGCTAATGTTCTCTCATTATTTAAAGGTGGTGATGCCTCAGACATGAACAACGTTCGTCAGATATCCAAACTCTCAATTTTGGCCAAGATCTTTGAATCTCAGGTAAATTTACAGTTAAATTTTTTTTTTATGTGATAATAGTATCTTAAACTCTTTTCAATCTGGTTTTAGAGCTGGCCATAGTAACATTACTGCTGCTACGGTAGGGATAAATTACATTATTTGTGCCCTGGATAAAAAACCGCACTGTGCAGCCTTATTTGTGGATGAAATGCCGTTAAAAAGACTTAGCAGTGTTGGTTTCGAACTAGGGATGTTGAATTGGTTTAGAAATTACTTTGTAGATCGGACTCAGTGTGTTCATTTGGAGGATCTCAAATTAGATTTTCTTGATATAGCTAAAGGGGTTCCCCAGGGTTCCATTTTGGGACCTATTTCATTTTCTTTTAAATGTTTCATATGGATTAATGGTTTATCATGTTTCTTATGGATTAATTTAACAGAGAATATTTGTTTTGGATGTGACTTGCTTCATTTAAAAGTAGACATTTGAAGCTTTCTATACATTTCTCATGTCTTTGAGGCAAGTATTCGCTGAGATTCACTGAGAAGTATTCTTAATCATTGTTGTATTCTGTGGATTTGTTTTGTTTGTAATAAAGTGCTGCACAAAGATTGCCTCTCCTCATTGACCTACCGTGACACTTATGTTTCATGAATTTTGACACAGTAATAGTGCAACAAATCATTTTCCATCAGATTGGTGAAGAATTCTGTTCCATCAGAGAATATTTAAAGAACCAAAATCATGGAATGACAAGTGAGTTTAGACAAATTGATTGTTTTTTTTTATTTGATCAATTTGGAAAGTCAAATATTTAAATAATTACATTTTAGCACAGTTTGTGACATCAACACAAATATAATAATGGACAAATAAAGGAAAGTGGGAATTATCCGTCAATGGTTTTCAAATTCAGTAAGTGACCATTTGAGTAAATGACCTGTTTACGCTGTGAGTTTATGCAGAACCAGTCTTTATCTCATTCACTTGTAGACAAGTTAAGGCACAAAAAGTTTCTATATACAACATATTTCATACACAGCAGTAATTTAATTTCACTTTCCCTGGCCATGCAAGACGACCCAAAGATAGGTGGCCTGAAATTTTGCTTGGGTGACTGACTTCTAATTTTCAATGCTTCTTGCGCCCAAAGAGAATTGGTTATTAGGTAGTACTTGGTGCTCTGATTTGATCAAAGGCTTACTTGAAAATTTGAGAACTACTGCACTATGGCATTAATGTGAGTCTTCAAATAAAAACAGCTTTTTTGTCCACATTTTTGTAAAATGAGACAAGGTGCAATATCTCTATTGCTCAGCGGGGGGATGCAATAAGATCATAGAATCGAGGCATGTTGCCAAAGCTGCTGAATTCAGGACTGGTGTCTACTCCATCCGGACCCTTTGGACTGCTAAAGCTGAATTTCTGAAGCAGAGACACGATGAACAGAAAGAGCTCCATACGAGCCAAAGACTCACCCACACAAGAGCGTTTACCTGCAAAGATGCAAGACAGAATAAAAGATCCTGATCATTAATTCTATTTAACCTAAATGTTATAGTACCTCAATCTGAAACTTATCTTAGGGGGCTGTTCTGTAATTCTAGATTCTGGTCTGCTTAACCTAGGTGCTGTGCTGAAAATCCTTTATTTGATGTAGTGTCCTTGGTCAAAAATTATTGCTTATAAATATCTCATTATGCTATACACTTGCTAAATCTTGGATTCAGCATTTTTGTCAACTTGTTGTCTTTATACAACATATTTCATACACAGCAGTAATTTAATTTCACTTTCCCTGGCCATGCAAGACGACCCAAAGATAGGTGGCCTGAAATTTTGCTTGGGTGACTGACTTCTAATTTTCAATGCTTCTTGCGCCCAAAGAGAATTGGTTATTAGGTAGTACTTGGTGCTCTGATTTGATCAAAGGCTTACTTGAAAATTTGAGAACTACTGCACTATGGCATTAATGTGAGTCTTCAAATAAAAACAGCTTTTTTGTCCACATTTTTGTAAAATGAGACAAGGTGCAATATCTCTATTGCTCAGCGGGGGGATGCAATAAGATCATAGAATCGAGGCATGTTGCCAAAGCTGCTGAATTCAGGACTGGTGTCTACTCCATCCGGACCCTTTGGACTGCTAAAGCTGAATTTCTGAAGCAGAGACACGATGAACAGAAAGAGCTCCATACGAGCCAAAGACTCACCCACACAAGAGCGTTTACCTGCAAAGATGCAAGACAGAATAAAAGATCCTGATCATTAATTCTATTTAACCTAAATGTTATAGTACCTCAATCTGAAGCTTATCTTAGGGGGCTGTTCTGTAATTCTAGATTCTGGTCTGCTTAACCTAGGTGCTGTGCTGAAAATCCTTTATTTGATGTAGTGTCCTTGGTCAAAAATTATTGCTTATAAATATCTCATTATGCTATACACTTGCTAAATCTTGGATTCAGCATTTTTGTCAACTTGTTGTCTTTCAATAAGCACAGGTTTTGTATTCAATATATATATATATATAATATATATATATATATATATTGTAGAAAGCACTTTGATTAACTTTAGTTTCACTGATCTAAGCTTATGCACCTCAGTTTGTTTTTATATTAGGGCTGGGCAAGTTAACGCGTTATCATCACGTTAACGCATTAATTGATTAATGCCGGCAATTATTTTATTGCGCATTAACACAGTTTTTTATTATTATGAAAGTCCGTTGCTCACTGGCTCTGAATACACATTCAGACAAACCATGGGTCACAGGAGGGTGGGATGTTGATCAGTACTGGCTTGGGTGTCATCACATGTCTCAACCAATGAGAGCATTTGGGGTGGACCTAAGACTGCAGCAGCGCTCACATGAACAGCACTCCCGATAAAATTATTTAGGCTAAGCACCAACATTCACAAACCACTGTTCACTGTTCTTTTTAACAGAAAATAATGCAACGTGCTCGTAACCAAGTTTGTGACCTCAAGCTCAAGCGCATTTGGGTTATGCAGCAGGACAATGATCCCAAACACATCAGCAAGCCCACCTCTGAGTGGCTCAAGAAAAACTAAATTAAGGTTTTGGAGTGGCCATGTCAAAGTCCGGACTTAAATCTGATTAAGATGCTGTGGCACGATCTTAAACAGTCCATTCATGCTTGAAAACCCTCCAATGTGGCTAAATTAAAACAATTCTGCAAAGAAGAGTGGGCCAAAATTCCTCCACAGCGATGTGAATGACTCATTGGCAGTTATCGCAAATGTTTGATTGCAGTTGTTGCTGCAAAGGGTGGCACAGACAGTTAGTAGACAAGTTAAGGCACAAAAAGTTTCTATATACAACATATTTCATACACAGCAGTAATTTAATTTCACTTTCCCTGGCCATGCAAGACGACCCAAAGATAGGTGGCCTGAAATTTTGCTTGGGTGACTGACTTCTAATTTTCAATGCTTCTTGCGCCCAAAGAGAATTGGTTATTAGGTAGTACTTGGTGCTCTGATTTGATCAAAGGCTTACTTGAAAATTTGAGAACTACTGCACTATGGCATTAATGTGAGTCTTCAAATAAAAACAGCTTTTTTGTCCACATTTTTGTAAAATGAGACAAGGTGCAATATCTCTATTGCTCAGCGGGGGGATGCAATAAGATCATAGAATCGAGGCATGTTGCCAAAGCTGCTGAATTCAGGACTGGTGTCTACTCCATCCGGACCCTTTGGACTGCTAAAGCTGAATTTCTGAAGCAGAGACACGATGAACAGAAAGAGCTCCATACGAGCCAAAGACTCACCCACACAAGAGCGTTTACCTGCAAAGATGCAAGACAGAATAAAAGATCCTGATCATTAATTCTATTTAACCTAAATGTTATAGTACCTCAATCTGAAGCTTATCTTAGGGGGCTGTTCTGTAATTCTAGATTCTGGTCTGCTTAACCTAGGTGCTGTGCTGAAAATCCTTTATTTGATGTAGTGTCCTTGGTCAAAAATTATTGCTTATAAATATCTCATTATGCTATACACTTGCTAAATCTTGGATTCAGCATTTTTGTCAACTTGTTGTCTTTCAATAAGCACAGGTTTTGTATTCAATATATATATATATATATATATTGTAGAAAGCACTTTGATTAACTTTAGTTTCACTGATCTAAGCTTATGCACCTCAGTTTGTTTTTATATTAGGGCTGGGCAAGTTAACGCGTTATCATCACGTTAACGCATTAATTGATTAATGCCGGCAATTATTTTATTGCGCATTAACACAGTTTTTTATTATTATGAAAGTCCGTTGCTCACTGGCTCTGAATACACATTCAGACAAACCATGGGTCACAGGAGGGTGGGATGTTGATCAGTACTGGCTTGGGTGTCATCACATGTCTCAACCAATGAGAGCATTTGGGGTGGACCTAAGACTGCAGCAGCGCTCACATGAACAGCACTCCCGATAAAATTATTTAGGCTAAGCACCAACATTCACAAACCACTGTTCACTGTTCTTTTTAACAGAAAATAATGCAACGTGCTCGTAACCAAGTTTGTGACCTCAAGCTCAAGCGCATTTGGGTTATGCAGCAGGACAATGATCCCAAACACATCAGCAAGCCCACCTCTGAGTGGCTCAAGAAAAACTAAATTAAGGTTTTGGAGTGGCCATGTCAAAGTCCGGACTTAAATCTGATTAAGATGCTGTGGCACGATCTTAAACAGTCCATTCATGCTTGAAAACCCTCCAATGTGGCTAAATTAAAACAATTCTGCAAAGAAGAGTGGGCCAAAATTCCTCCACAGCGATGTGAATGACTCATTGGCAGTTATCGCAAATGTTTGATTGCAGTTGTTGCTGCAAAGGGTGGCACAGACAGTTATTAGATTTAGGGGGCAATTACTTTTTCACGTAGTACCAGGCAGGTTTGGACAGCTTTATTTCCCTTATAAAATGAAATCAGTATTTCAAAACTGCATTTTGTATTTACTCAGGTTATCTTTGTGTAATATTAACATTTGTTTGATGATCTGAATCTTTTAAATTTGACAAATATGCAAAAAAACAAAACAAAAAAAAAACAGGAAGGGGGCAAAAACATTTCACGCACTGAAATGTCAAAGTTCTTTCTACTATATATATATATATATACATATATATAT